ACAGAAAGGGGAAGCCGTGGGATCGAAACCCTTGAAGACATCTTTAAGGGAAGCGGCGTCTTGCTGTTCGCTGTCCTGCGCCGGACTGTTTCCCGCGAAAGGACTTCCCGATCCGGATTTGGCGCTTTGTTTAACCATACCGTAAACCGAAGGAACCGGAAGATTGTGTACCCCGGGTTGGGGGGTCGTTTCTTGGACAGGGGGAACGACGGCGGTTTTGGGACGAGGTCGGTTGTAACTATTGTACCTGTCCGTAGCGGATTCGACGTTCGATTTTTCCGATTCGGGTTGATCCAACGCCGAACGTCGAACGAAAAGGGGTTCCTTGGTTTTGCCGGTGGTTTTGACGGAATCTGAGGATTTAGAGGACGAGTTAGCTTCGTTAGGAGACTCGGAAGCTTTGCTGCCCGAGCTCGGAGTCCTGGGATCGTACAAACTGATGGCGCTCAGAACGCTGCTTTGCCCGCTGCCTTTGCTCAACCCGCCTGCCGTCAGCAGCCGAGGGTCGTAGGGAGCGATAGCCGGGGCGGTATCGCCGGCAGATGCCGGATCTGAGGTTTTAGGAACTCGAGAAATTCCCGTTTCTGTAGATTTTTGTAATCTGGGATCGGCGGGGGCTTTCCGCATCCGAGGGTCGCTGGGTTTGTCGCTCTGGCTGGAAGATGGACTGCCGGCCGCGTTCACAGTCTTTAAAATCCTCGACAGGAGCTCGAAATCGGGGAGACCGGTACCCGAAGAAGAACCGGCGTCTCCCGTTCCCCCCCTCTGCCTGGGATCGGAAAGACCCGTTTGGGGTCTGTTAAGACGCGGATCGAGGGTAGGCATGGATTGAAGAGCTGCCGGAACGGGAATAAACTCTTGCTTTGGGATCGGTAACGGAATCAGATCCTCTGGGCTCCACAGGATCATCCGGGCAAAGTTGGGTTTGTTGAGGACGACGTCTTTTTTGATGTGGCTGAATTGCTGCAGTTGGGAGCGAGGATCCCGCAGGGAATGGCCCGGGAGAGCATCGACGGGGATGTTGACCGGTTTATCCCGTAGAATTCTTTCCCCTTCCTCCTCGTCGGGGAGCAGGGAAGGTTTCGGACCGCCGCCGACGCTGGAATGAGGAACTTCTGGTTTGGGGGCGGAGGAGGGAATGTGTCGTGCGAGTCTGGGGTCAGTGGGTCCCAAATCCCCGGGAAGAGACGGGACGGAAAGGTCCGCGTTTCGGGAAAGCCTGGGATCCCGTAACCGCGGATCGGCAGGACGACCGCTTCCTCCTGTTTGGGATTTTTGCAGGCGAGGGTCGCTCACACCGGAGGGTGGTCCGATTTCTCCGTGGGAGGGTTGGATGTGAGATCTGCCGGAGCTTTGTTGCCTTAGGGTTTTCAATATGGAGGTGACGCTACTTCCACCGTCATCTTCGTCACTGGAATACCAGTTACCGGTATCGCCTGGGAGGAGGGAGAAAACAGCTGATAAAAGGCAACTAAAGCACGGTCAAACCGTTACGCTGACGAGAACGTCCCCAAAACGCGGCCCCTCGCCCCTCTCAACCCAATGCCGCTCAAACTCCCGACCGTTCCCGCGTTTTGCCGAACCGGGGGGAGGGCGGGGACACGACTACGCGTGACAGCTTTGGCCTCCGGGGTCTTGTTTTCACACCACAAATTCCCAGAGAGCCGTAAGCATCCCTCTCTTCCTCTTCCTCCTGTCTGCAGCAGACTAATTTCACCACAATTTAAGCCACCAACCTTATCTCCTTCACCTTCTGGCCAGCTGTTCCCATTTTTTTTTTTTTTTCAGCAGACCTACTCGTTTCTTCACCGGCAACGCGCTCTTTCGACACCGGGGCTCCTCGTTCCCTTAAACGATCCCTCCCCGACACCCCCGTTTCTCCGACGGCCCCCTCTTTTTTTCAGAGATCACACCTCTGGGAGGGTAGAAACCGAAGCGGATCCAAGTTATCCCCCTCCCACGTTGGATTTTGCCACTTGCCTTCCTCATTTTCGCGTTCTTGCTTATTGCTCTCGGCAAGTCTCCGAGCTCTCTCCTCTTCCTCTTGCTGCTTCTGCTGGATTCTCAAATAAAGAGCTCTTTGTGCCGACGGCATAAAATCGGGGATGCTGCCCGGCGGTTTCGGTAAGCCGGGAGGGCCTCCTTCACACAAGGCATCATGATCCAAGGACGGATCAGGGAACATGTGCTCTCCCGGAGGTCCTTCCATATCCTCGTAACCACCGTAGTCTTCTGTCGAGTAAAGATCATCAATATTAAAAGAAAATCTCAAAGCTGTGAAAAATAACCCAATTTTTCTCCCATCTCGGACTGCCGCCATGCCCGGGGCACGCCAGGAACAACCCGTCTCCGGGTTGGCGTGTCCGGCAAAGCATCTAAGAGCCGATCCCGGTAGATCCTTGGGACGTACCTGGGTCTCCCATCATTCCGTGATCCATCTCCAGACCTTCTTGTTGCTGGTAGAAATTATCATAAAAACCTTGCGCTGGTGGAACGGGCGGCATCATGCCGGAATGGGGGGAATCATCCGGTCCGTAGGGCATCATAGGCGGTCCGGGACCCATCGGAGGGCCGGGATTCATTCCCGGGCCCATCGGCATGTCCGGGTGCATATCCGGATGCATGTCCGGGTGCATGTCGGGGTGCATGTCCGGGTGCATGTCTGGGTGCATGTCTGGGTGCATGTCCAGGTGCATATCGGGGTGCATGGGTCCTGGCATTGGTCCTGGGGGTCCTCCTGGCCCGGGGAACCTGGGGGGAGGCGGACCCGGGTGCCTGAAAGAGAAAATAGAAGAAAATCCGCTTTAACAGGCGTGCTCCGCTTCCGGAGGGATGGACCCAGGGCTCTCCGAGCAGCAGCGCCCGCGCCCGGACCCCTAAAAATGGTGAGAAAACTCTTTTCTACGTGTTCGCCCCCACCGTCAGGGCAAAGCTCCTGGTTGGACATAAAAATTTGCCATCGCCGTCCCTGTCCCCATTCCCTGGAGATGGTTGACACTCACCTCACGCCCAGCTTCTCCGCCAGCTGCCCGGTCGGTCGGACGACGATCTCAAAGAGCGAGGGAATTTTCTTGTACATGTCCTGTTGTTGCTGCAACTGCTGCGGCGACAGAGGTTCGTGCATCGGTGGCGGCATCTGCGGCCCCGGCGGTGGAAGCGGTGGCGGCGGAGGAGGAGGAGGGCCTCCGGGGATCGGTCTTCCGTTCGGAGACGTCGGAGCCGGCGGTCCGGGAGGACGAGGAGGCGTGGGCAGCAAGCCGACCCCAGGGGGTGGTTTGGGAAGAGGATTAATGCCCTGTTTTTTTAGTTCTTCGACTTCTTTCTCATCCTCCGCGCCCGCTTCCGCATCATCCGCCAGCATCTGAGAAGATAAAAAGGAGTTCAGAGCAAATCCACGGAGCTGCTCTGCCGATCGACACGCTCCAGAAAACCTCTCCCTCCCTTTCCACCTGCAGGATCCACTTCCACGGGAAGAAAAACGGAGCTGAAACCACGTCGACGCTTCCCCTTTACCTTGTCCAGAAGCTCCCGCGTCTCCTCTGTGAGCGGATCGTGAGAAAACATGCAGTCATCCCCGTTGATACAGTTGCCCGTGGTGTGGTAGAGCTTGCAAGGGAAGTCGCGTATCATTTATTAAGGAGAATAAATCCCAACTGGGAGTTACCCCGAGCTCTTCCTACAGCCAGAGACGCAACAGATGCTTTTCACTTTGAAATGCAGCTTTTAAAGCTGGAAATCATCCTGGTCGCGACACTGAAATTAAACTGCCGTCACCAGAAACACCCCGTTTTCCTTCCCGTCAGGTTTTCCCGTACGCCCAACAGCCACAAATTTAATTTCTTCAACAGGAAAGCTGAGACTAAGAGGGAACCGGGAAGGTTGTCGGCAGCGCCGGTCGTGCAGGCTGTCAGCGGAGCACGTGTTACCCAAAAAAGCGCCCCTCCCCCCCCCCCCCGCCCCTTATGCATTTATGCAGAGCAAACGAGACTGATTTAAGGCTGGCTTAAGAAAACAGTAAAAACCAAAAGGATATCATGCATGTAAGGGCAGTTTTCAGCCCTGGCGCAGTAGCCAGTGATGTAGAACTTGCACAGCTCCCGTTTCTTTGGTAGTTCGATGTCGTGACTGAAGTTGCAGTGGTCGCCCTGTTCAGAGAGAACACGACAGCGTGAGCAGGCGGAAGCGCGAACACACCTAGGACGGACGGGGAGATGCGTAACTCTTTACAAAACTCTCTTTGTAAGGGTGAATCCCTCCCTGAAATCCACTAAAACCTGGGCCTTATGCTTCAGTGACGGTTCTCTGTGCGTATAAAAGAGATCTACAGGAATATTCGTGAATTATTCCCTTACCCAGGTACACCTGCCTTCCACAAAGTATTTGCAGATGACTTTGCCTTTCTTATCCGACTGCTGGTGGGGTTTATCGTGGTCGTTCCGCCGGTAATTTCCACCACCTCCTCCATCCTATTGAAAGCACATTACGTTAGTTGACAAAGAATTTGAAATATAAAGCAAAAGATCACACAAAGAAATTAAAACTTTTTACGCAGCCAGCTCCGAGAAGGAAAAACACTTGAGATTTGGGATGAAAAAAGGGCGGCAAAGACGAGTGCGCTGAGCCTAGCAGGCTCCTGAGCGCGGCTCGAGGAACCTGTCAATGGATCAGAATCCAACACATCCATCCCCTTCAATTTTTGTAGATCCTGAGGAAGATCCGTTTGGGTTTTTTCGCTCCTGCGAAGGCTTTCTTCGAAGCCCGGCTGGATTTACGGGGGGAAAGAGGGAAAGGAGGTGCATCCGGCACTGCATCAGACAACAAAGAGCTACTCACTCCCATGTCCTCGTCATAGTAATCGTCGTCCTCGTTCATTCCACCACCTTTCCCCATGCCACTTCTGTTTCCGCCTCTGCCTCGTCCTCTGCCCATTCCTTTATTTCCTCTTCCTCTGGGGCCACGACCACGTCCTCGATTTAAACCTGAAAATACATGTCCTGGTTTTTAATTGCTCTCCTTCCGTAAAACGTTGTGAGGGAGCAGAAAGCAGGAACCCCCCCAGCACAGCTCACTACCCCACTCACCCCGTCCACGATTCTCCTTACTCCTGCGATACTGATTCAGCTCTTTCGAGTAATCGTCATATTCGTCATCGATGATGGGCTCCTCGTTATCGCAATACTGTGAACGAGAAAGATCAGTGTCTTTAGCGAGCGGGGATGAAACGCAGCCCGTCCCCTCCCTCAAATGCAAACGTCCCGATCGTGAAAAAGAATAATATTTTGTTTCCGTGATTTCCGGGGAGCAGCTCGGAAACTCGGTACTTACTTCCATCTCTTCGTCATACATCTCCTCCTCTTCCTCAGGGTGGTCACCTCTGCCTCGCCCTCGGTTTCCTCGGCCCATGCCTCGGCCTCCTCTCATTCCTCCTCTGCCTCCTCGTCCTCGGTACCCTCTGCCTCGGCCACGGCCACCTGGCAAAGCAAAGGGATGGGATCAGCTTTGGGCTGAGTTTCACCTCTCAGGTACATTAAAACAGCACAACAACGTGCCAGACAAGGGAAAATAAATGATAACCTTTCAGTACGGCATTACCAGCATCTTAAAAACTTGTTTCTAAGTCAATCAGTTTTTAATAGTCTAAAAAACCCCGGATTTTTAAGAAGCCAAATGATAATATTTAAAAAAAAACCAAAAAACAAGGCTGTGTGATCACGTCAGCTGCCGCACAGGTGCGTTAGGCTGGTAGTGTAAATCTGCGTGCTCCAGATGTGATGATGTCCAACTTGTTACGCCGTCAATCGACTTCATTCTCCTTTCAAATCAAGCTTTTGTTTTACTTTCTCTATTTTCAACCACTGAAGTGCTTTTAAAACGATCTACGCTAGCAAGAATAACGCTTATTTGAAACGTTTAATTATCCGCAGGGATCTGGACTTTCCCCTCGGAGCGAAAAACAGGAAAAAAACACTTTCCCCTCTCCCAGACTAACACTGATGAGCGGTTTAGTGCAGGCAAGGCTTCATGCAGGCAGAGCAGTTCAGCTTCATGAAGCTTCCTGCACGTTCTCGGGCCTTATTTGGTCGCAGATTAGCTAAACGAGCTGCAGGTAACGAATGTTCAGAGATATGGCAGTAAAAAAGGAACGTTTAGACGTACCTCGTCCCCGGTGAGAGCCTTCCTTCGCTCGCCGGTATTGATTCAGCTCTTTTGCAAAGTCGTCGTAATCTTCCTTCCCTATATCTTCATCCTCCTCCCCCTCGTAGTGACCGTACTCTTCATTCTCGTAGTCCTCGTACATGCCGTAATTTTTACTCTCCATTTTAGAGTAGCTCTTCTTTTGCATGGGAGCATTGTGAGAGGACGGATACTGCTGGTGGGACTTTGGGAAAGACAGAGAGGTTAGTGATAAAGGAAGGGAATGTATCAAGCTTAATATCATGACTTAATTTTTAAAAATCATTAAAAAAAAAAAAAATCCTTAAATAACTAGGTTAAAAATAAACAGGCTAAAGGACCAGAGCCAAAGCGTGTGGCTCGTAGATGGAGCAAGATCTGTGCTCAACTCTTGCAGCAGTTCTGAACCAGAGAGCAGTTTCCCCATCTGCTGGCAGGTACTTACGGAAGAGTAGGGAGGGCTGTATTCCCTGTATTTTCTGTGTCCCTTTTCACCGGGACTGAAGTCCGAGTCCTCACTGTAATCAGAGAAGTCATCGCTGGAAGAAGCGTGGCGCTGCAAGGCAAGGAAAACCCGCGGTGCAGTTTTATTACAGGCCAGCTCTGACACAACACAACGAAATCTCTCTTTTGCTTCCAAAAAATTCCTCGAACTTCAGTAACAAACATCTTTGGTTTTGCAAATTCGGCAGGCTACAATCCCCTTTTGAGGTAAGAACGCTCACAAAGTAATTCCCTAAATAAAAACCTGTTTTTCTTCCCGTTCTGCAGGCTCAGATGGACAAGAAAGCGCTGTAGTATTTTTATCCCACCCGCAGACCTCGGATTCCTCAGAGGAGGAAGGCGTTAAGGAGCTGAACCCCAAGAAACCCCGCGAGCGCTCCCACCTCGCAACTATCATTAGGGGAAGAGCCTCAAACTACCCGTAGTAATGTTAGAGGAGGAATTCCCTGGAGATATCTGATGGCAGAGGAAGGCAGACTGGAGCTAGGAAACAAAAGCAGCGCGTGGCTCACCTTGTGTTTGGATTTCCTTTTCTTCTTGGATCTCCTCTTCTCTTTCTCTTTCCGACGCTTGCGCTTCATCCGTCGATGGGCTTTCTCATCATCTGAATCGCTGTGATGCTTCTCCCCCTTTTCCTTCCGACCTCTCTCTTGAGATTCAGAGGGATCCTGTGTGTCTTCCCCTCCATCATCCTCCAGCTCCCCTTCTTCCAGTTCTCCATCCTCCCTGTAAAGCACACAGACACATTTAATTCGCTTTATTCAACAAAAAAAACCCCAAAAACCACAACCTGCTTACTCTGCTCACCAGCCAGCCACGCACTCGGTTCCCAAAGTGCTCACAAATTCCTATTTACTGTGGTTTTAAATATCTGATCATAAATACCATTTCTGGTCACCTCTGCCAGCGAAATCTGCTCGAGCTCTTAGTCAGCCCGGAATTAAAACACGGCGAAGAAGCACCTCGCAAACAACAAACCGAAGCCACGACATTACGGTGTACAACCTTCACATGAAATTAGTGCAAATCCACTTCAAGGATGGAAATTGGTGTTTTAATATAACACTCTGTCTACTCCAAGAACTGAAATCGGTGTTTTAACAAAACAACCGGTCCTCTAAAAGACAAGAATAAGTAAATATCATGTTGGTTTGCCAAATCTAGAGCTGCGTGCCCAGTTATTTCCACTTTCTCCTGCTACCACTCACCCACAGTTGTGGTTAGCAGGGGTGATAAAGCACATCTGCAACTTCCTCAAGAGGATTCCTCAATTAAATTAAATTAAAAATTACTCCAAGAAACTTTTTACAACCTCGTAACAGATTAAAAGTGTAGCACGGCACGAGTTCAATCAGCTCCCTTGCGTGTTCCCTCTCTTCCAACAGGTCCTGAGTTTGTCGCTGTGTGATTTAAAACAAGAGTGGGGTCTCCTCCTCCCTTTTCACTTAAGCTATAATTAAAACCAAAAACGCTGGCCGGTTTATATACATCACAGTCGTTCACAAACAGCAATTTAGGAGCGTGCCATGCCGTGCCGGCGCTGTGCTGCACGTGGCGGAGAAGGAAGAAGGAGCTGCCGCTGCCCGGTAGCTCTCAGGGAAGTCTGGAAGCTGAGATGAGGTTTAGGAATGGCACGCAGGAGCCTCTCGGAAAAAGCTCCGAGCTGTTGGTAACCTCAGGTTATGTTAAAAAAAAAAAAAGCCACAAGAAAAACTGAATTATTTCCCCAAATACATTGAAAAAACTACAAAAAAAACCCCCAGTATTAACAGTCCCCTGGGGATGTTTCAGCATCGTGGAGAGCAGTCGGATCCAGCCACCCGGTCCGACTCTGATGCAAAGCTCCCGTCTCGTTTTTGTTTGCGCTTGCAGCATTTTAATAACAGACCAGCTCCAAAATCAAGCTCACTTAAGTATTACTCATGAAGCTCTTAAACGTGACGTGTAATTCCCAGGTGTAAAAACAAGTTTTAAAGGCGAGGAGGGGTGGAAATGATTTCCATCGCAAGAACGCAGCATCCTTCAGGTGTTTGTGTTGAGCGAGATCAATCTTGGAACAAGACCTGAGAAACTCGCGCTCTGCACAAAGCCGAGGTGAAGAACAGAAACAAAGCAAGCTGACGGACAAGAATTTAAAATAGTTGTGCATTTAAATACTTAAAAGTCCTGTTAAAGCCTCTCTCCATTTCCTAGAGGGACAGGTTCATCAATAAATGGATTTCAAATTAGAAATACCACCAGGTTTCTGGATCCAGTTTCCAGCAGCCTAGAGAGCACAGCGAAGCGAAACACTGACGCAGCTCAGCCCGGGCATGCGACAGGCTTGTAGGACCCAAGGAGCTGCTAGAAAGCCCGCTGCGACCCCATAAATGCCCTCACACCGTGCGTCTTTGCGGGGAAAAAACCTCTCATGGCTATTCCCTTCGGCATCGCTCCACCAAAATCAGCATCGTTTACCCTCTCCCAGGAGTCCCCACTGGCTGGGGATCGCAATTGCTCCCCGTCTTCAGAGAGAAATAAAACGCATGTCGCTAACCTTAATTGCAATTTTCAGCAATAATTACCCTTCGTTTTGGATAGCACAAGGCGCTTTTACCCTGCCTTGAGTCGTTCTGGTTCGATATCAAGGTTTAGAGGAGACTACGCTCCTGGAGCCGCATCCCGATCGACAATCGCATTATTAAATTTGCCGTGGTTACAGAAACGAGGACCAAAAAGGCTCCTGAAAACTAAGCGCAAAAAATTTTTTGGCCGTCGCAAAGATTATTCGAAAAGCACCGAGAGACGGGACCAGGCCGAACCATCAAAACGGTCGCTGTTTCACAGATTAATTATTTAATCAACACACACATCTCCTAAAGAAGGAAAGTCTGAGAAACCACGTTTATACAGACGCTTAGATGCATCTTAAGACGGGCAGTATCATCTCCTGCTGGTTTTTAACTCCCAATTCTCCTGGATTTGAGTAGGTTTGGGCCAGAAATGATACACCGACCTCTCAGAGAGACCGTGGGGCTTATTTAGCATGTGGAAAGCGCTCTGAAAACTTTTAGGCAAGTATTACCAAAACACTGTATTCACCTAACGGTTTTAAACACAACGAAACGGAGTCATTTCAAATACGGCAACGGGTGAGTGAGGATGTTTGAAAGCAACCAAACGATTTCTGAGGCTGGATGGAAAAAAAAAATTAAAAGCAATTAAAGCGACGTCGTGCATTTTCGGGGGACGGCTCACCGTGGAGAGTCGCTGCGGGTACGTGGTGAAGAAGCCATGTCTGTTAACCAACTATTGGTACTGCAGAAAACACTGACTGGGGGAAAATTCTTCCCCAAATCCGCGCTCATCTCGGGCTTTCCTATCGCTCCTGACCGCCTGATCTATAGCGAACGGTCCCCGGCACAGCACACATCCTCGCGGAATGACTCTCGCCGGTTGCCGTGCGGCGTTTGTGACCTCAGCGCCACGGCAATGACGTAACACGGCAGTGACGACGCCTGGAAAAAAAACAAAAGCCCTTTCCAATCGTTTTCCTGCCATAACGAGAGCGTGAGTGCTTTGCTACGGGGAAAACAGTAAGAACGACCGCGCTGGGAGAAAATTTAGTAGGGTTTTTTTTTTTTGCCATTTTGGCCACTGAAGAGCAGCGCAAGAATTAAAATATTATCTTAAAATAATCAATGTCACTTTACACAGCTGCGGCTTTAAATTTGGAAACGAGCGTAACGAAGTGACAAACGAGTGGCCTAGACAGCAGATTTACCCTCAGTTATAGTTCTAAACCTGGTAAAGATATTACTGCTCCTTGCTCATTACACCTGAAAGAAACCCCGTCGAAAATAAAACTCTCGGCTCCCATCCTCAGAAAAACACCAGTGTTCTTCACTGTTTTCAAGAAAAGAAAGAGCTTTGTGCGCTCTCACCTGCTCTCTACAGATACATACCTCAGAGTAACTTCTATACAACACCCTTGTAAAAAAACCCCATGATTTAATAGCTGGAAAAAAATTTCCGGCGGCTTTTTTGCACAAGAGGTGCAGCTGACCGTGAAATCGGCCGCCCGGTGCGTGATCTGGTTTTGCCGGAGTGGATTCACGGACACCGAAAAAGCAGGGAGGGGGTTTGTGTACAGAGGCAGATCTCGGTTTAACTTTGAGGAATGCAAAGCACAGGGCAGAGGAGGTGAAAATACTTTTTTTTTTGTTGTTTTTGTTCCGGAAAGCTTTGAAAATAAAGTGCAAACACTCTGGAAGACCCTAGATTGCAAACGCAGGTGATTTAATCTCACGAGAAGCGAATGTTCGCTTCTAATTTTACGTGATTTTAAGTAAAATGCTTGACGGGGACCTAAGCTGTATCGTTAGGATAAACAGCTTCTGCCTCAAGCTGAGCAACCAAGAGAGTTTAAAGTTGATTTTTAACAATCTCATGTATTTGAGGGAGGGGGGAAGAAATGATCAGATGGCAAATTAAAAACGTAAGCGTGGTAAAACCAAGTAAAACCTGAAAATTAACCATAAATCAACTGGCTAAACTCGAGGGGGGAGCGGGTTTTTTGGCAGAGAGCGACTCCCCACAACCTATTTCAAAGCAGGATTTAAAAGCAGATCCCTCCACGTGGACAACAGGGCAGGGGTATCGCGCTGCTTTTAAGTAGAATTTTGCTCTTTTTAGGATAGACGTGTAGGTTTTGCTCATTTGAAGGTTTTCTAGGGAAAACACAAGGCCAGGCTTTTCAGAGTGACCGCTACCTCAGCTAAAAGTTATTAATCACCTATTTAATGGTTCAGCA